GCAATAGGACAAAGGGAACTGCTGTTCTAAAAATAGTATAGGCAGAACTTCATGGGAAATCATTCTAATAAAGTGAAACTGCCCTGAGTGGTCAAAGGGATGTTACTTTAGTAATCGGGCCATGCCATTGCAGCATATAGGCCTATATTATTCATCTGCAATTAGTAGAAATAAAGAGGAAAATAATGACCGACAGGGGTGCGGTACCGGCAGTGAGCGGTCGTCACCTCTTGACCGACACAGGTGCAGCAACGGCGATGAGTAAGTTAAAAAGTTTTGTAAGCACAAGAAATTAAGCACTTTACAAGAGATTAGACTCAATGGGACTTAGAGCTGCAAATGGAGTAAATTAAATTGGAGACTGCAAGGTTTGCAAATGTTCAAATACTGCGAGGTACGAAAGCAGTAGATCTATACTAGGGGTAACTACTAGGAAAGACTCAAAGAGTTACGCTTGGAAACTAAATCACGATCAGATGATGCGGAGGACATCCCCCTTGCAAGATCAAGCAAGATGGCTGTTACTATAAATATCGGCCGATGGCGTTTAGTTACACTTGTTGTTCTGATACTAGTGATAGCTATCCGCTTGTCCACGGGTGTGCGTTTGAACGAATCAGTCTTATTTTTTGCACAACTCATAGCAGGCATTTCAGGCACCACTTGTTACTTCTCTGCTCTGTGCCTGTAATTATCTTCACAATAAATAAAACCTCAAATCTGCTATAATAACGAACACTCGGATTCAACAAAATTTTAGTTGAGGCCCGGTAACTTCTTGAATCCGAGTTCCACTGTATTTAAATCCAGTTCTTTCTATGGGATTTAAATGGCTCAATGGTTTTTCATACTGAACTGCACAGTAGCATTACAATAGTATGACTTGGACTTGATGGCCTGTCATTTTCTCGTTTTAGTTTCAAGAGTTTGATTCCAAGAGTCTAGACTAGATGTGTTTCAACAGTATTGAGTAGGCCTATTTTGAAGCATCAATAATAGTTGCTTACAGTGACAGCGAGTCTCTGCTTTTTGACTTGCTGTGGTAGCCTACATTCAGTCCATGTCCATGGCTGTCAACCCTTGAGGCTGAGGCAAGATTATGTGGTTAACTTTTACTTTCACCCCTGTAGGCAGATGCACTGCTTTTTGGGGGGGTCAATCTGCCTTATTATGCGATATATATATAAACATTTTATTTGGCTGCAGAACACACTTGCGCCGGTCGAATTGTCGCAAATCAATAATAAAAAAAAAAAGTTTCAAACACATTCACTTTTTTGTTTTACACAACTCAGGAATGCTACTAATGTTTTTGTACAGTCTAATCTGTCCAAGACAGCCACCCATTGTTGAGAGAAAAGTGGTTGTCTTCCACAGTTTCATGTAAAATTACTCAAAGGGGGAAATGGCTGTTTGTACAGATGGTCGTTAGATCAGATTTGACTATATTGTTACGTTTTTCCTTTCATAGCAATCAAGGCCACAAGAGAAGAACTGGACAGAGCCAACGTCCCTCTGAAGAACAGAGACTACTGTGTGGATTATTTCCTAGAGCTGATGAAGTGTCGGCAAGAGCACTTCCCCCGCATCCTGAAGCACTGTGCGAAACAGACCCACGAGTGGGAGCACTGCCAGATTGAAGAGTAAGTGTTTCGTAGGGCTGGATTCTGCTCGGTTAATCGAAGGCTTGCAAAGCAGCAGATGTCTTGCACTAGAGGCTTGTGATTTGATTTGCCTCCCGCTTTCTACCGGAGGGAACTTCCGGTGAGTTGTGACTCGCGGACAGTCCTGCTGTACTGTGTCGTGTCGTGACGTCGCGAACTCTCGTGGCAGTGGGCTCAGTACATATTACAGAAGATTCTCTGGTTATTTGCGTTGAGAGGCTTGCACCAAAAGTGCAAGGTCGGTTGTTGTTTTTTTCATAGTTCGGTTGTAAAAAACAAAAAGCTCTATTCAATGCACTTAAAAATTAATATTGGATCGGCTAATCTTATGATGTTAAGGCCTGTTTATTTTTAATGTGCATGATCCAAGCGCTTCATCGTCGCACGCAAAAGACCTCAGTTCGATTCCCGTATGGGGAGAAATTTTTACTGAGAACCTCCGTCTTTCTGCTGGGGCGTTGTTCCCTCTCAGCCAAGGTTGGCCCTGACATTGGGTTGAAGTAGGCCTAGCCCGTCTCCTAAATGTTCTGTATTATGTCACTGTGAGTGTAACACATCTACAAAATAGGTTATATACATACGATACAAAAGCCAATCACAACGATCCCTGGAGTTTTCCATTTTAGGGTAATCTAAGTCAATTTATTCTTATTACTACCAGAAACCTAGGTCTCTGTTACTACAATACCACGCTCCCTCTCACTTATCCATTCGCTTAGCTGATCAACGGCGGGAAGTTAAAAATAACTTCAGCTCTCTACGTCTTGCACCAGAACAAGCCCAGCCTCTCCCTTCCTCCACGGTTCAAAGTTCACACAGCGAGCAGTGCTTGCTGTTTGAACACATCGAGGTGTCTTGTCGCCATCGAGTTGTACCGCGGCGTGCCGCTCGCTCGGTGTATCGAGACAGTACAAGTCAGCAGGTCAGGTTTCGAGCTTGTCCTGGGGCAAATCTCTAGGCCTAGCGCAAATCAGTACTGTGTGAATTGTGGGGCCTGTGGCTGCGGACGGGACTTGAGGCTTGCGCAGGCCTTCGATTAATCGAGTAAACTACAGCGCCACGCCGCGCAGTGACTCTGTGGGCGAGATCTCTCACTCTCCCCCTCTCTCTTTTTCTGACGTAAGTGGCTTCGTGGATTGCAAGCAGGGTGGGGATGATGAGGGGGCCTGACACGAGTGGCTTCGCGGATTGCTAGTTGCTGTGGACTTGAAGTTTAGACTAGACCAAGGAGGTTACAGTTTGCGCTAGACTCAACTTATCATGCTGGTGATTTGATTTGATGATTTCACCTAGTGATTTGAGGCTTGTGACTTGAACTAGGGGCTTGTGAGCACGAGCGGGTTTGCTACCGGGGTACAGCCCTAGTGTTTCGCTTCAGCTGCTGTAGAGCCCTTTTTAAGCCCTAGCTACGGGTATACCAGTGACGCATAAAATTGCTTCTTTTGTATTCCTAACGACCGGTACATCAGTGAGGAAAACCCTAAATCCAACCGAGCCCCTCTGGGGGACGAAAGGTGGGCACGGAAATCATTATATTTACCACACAGAACATTATAATTATTGATTATTTTGAAGATCTTTCTGAGTTAGAATAGATGCTGTTAATGATGGGGACTACACTGAGTGAGAATGGGATGTTGATGATGATAATGTCGATGTGTTTAATACAGGGTCCCCACCAGGTCAGGAAATCGGGAAAAAGTCGGGAATTTTGAGATGGGTCGGGAGGTAGGGAAAAAGTCGGGAATTTTGTGATGGGTCGGTAAGTCGGGAAAGGATAGGGCCTGTGTAATATTAGTAGTGTAGCTGTCTAGACAGTATGGTTGATGAATCCTGAAGAAGAAACGTAACTGAACCGCTGTGGCGGAAGTGTGTGTGTGTGACAGCAAGGCTCGATCGGGAAGAATCAAGATCTACTTTCGCTTTCGTTACCGCCCAGAAATTTTCCGGTAATAGTCTGATACTACTGATAGACAACGCAACATTTGTAACATGCAGGTTATGCATTATGAACGCTGTGTCGCCTTGAAAATAAATCAATATTAAAAATGCCCTCTGCTGTCGCTTTCTGGAAAAAAAAATGAGCTGAAGGCAACCCTAGAGGATAAAAACTGAACTTGGAAGCAAATTTTTAGCATTTTGATAACTACTTTAGATTTAGAGCTCTCTGCAAAGCGCGCGTTGGTGCAGGCCTTGTGTGGAATCGGGATCCGTCATGCCTTGTTATTGAACTAAAGTGTTCACATTTCATTGGATGGGGTGATTGTAATTTATATCTATATTTTAGCTTTCTGTTCAAGATTGGCAGATTTTCAGTGTCACTGCATCTTGCGCCCCCCTGCCCCCCAGTTCTTACACCTCTCACACTGAATAAGTGTACTTGAGCCATTCTAGTTATTACTAATATTACTCTTCTTTGAGTTGTAGCAATGGTTTTCGTCTTCACGTTTATTATATGAATCACGACACCCAGACTGGTTATTGACAGTCGATATTCTAGTTCTAGGTCTTTTCTCAGGCTCAAAACAGGATTCATTTTTTTATATAGGGCCTATAGTTTGTTATGTTGGCTAATATGACGAGGGGAAAATATAAATAAGTAAGAACAGACTGAAATACCAAAGTCTCTCAAGGTCCCAGTGCCACACTGACATGTTGTTGACTGGATATAATGTACCTACATGTGTGTGTGTGTGTGTATTCACAAACATATACATGTATTATATTAGATATAAATTATGTATAATAAGTGGAGCACACGCTTTCATTGTTATGTAACGTGTTCCTGGAAAATAGATGAGGCCCCTCCCTTGGAAAATTGAGAAGCTTGGTTGGCAGTCACCCAGTATTACAGTCATCTATTGTTTGAAGACTATACTACAAAATGTACATTTTCATTCATTTATAGACATTTTGACTTTTTATCATTGATAGATTGGCTTTTAGGGGGGATCATTCTTGACGCGCAGCTGCCTGATTTTTCCCTCGAATTGGGGTCTTGAAAAAAATTTGGGGGGTCTTGAAAAAATTTTCCAGGATTTGGTGGGGACCCTGTTAATATTATAAGTGTATGAATTGCTCAGAGCTCTGGCAGAGGGGTAGGGTAGCCTCAGGAGGTCAGGGCTCTTAGTCTAAGGGTTTAAAACAACTTTTGTAACAAGTTCTGTTTGTTTGTTTTTTTCTTTTGGTATGTTTTTTTTTCGCTTTTAATGGATGCAATTGTTTGCATTATGTGATCGAGAGGGGGGTGTGGGGTGTTGTTCAACTGTTTGCAAGCTAAAATAAAAAAAGATAGAGAATTTCTGAAGTTGTTCCCTAACTGCCAGTCTGAGGTGTCTATATTATATTCAGTTTAGACAAAATTAATGTTCGTGTTTTTATTTTTGATGGGCCGTGGTCACCACAGTGCTTATCATTGACAAGCTGTTAAAAAGTGCTAAGCCCAGAAAGCAAAATTTTACAGGAAAGAGAAAAAACTGTTACATTCTTTTAACAGTTGTACTCTACATTATCATCATTATGAATTTTTTTCATACTTTATACATTTAAAATTTGAATTTCTACAAAATATTTCATGGGCACATGCAACCAACACATATTAGTTTTTGCTCTTTTCTTCCTGGGCATCAACTTTCACCGTTTGAGAGGCGTGCATGAAAAATTTGTCACTTCTCAGATTTGGGTCCTATGGCTAAGATATATGTCAATGTCAAATTTTTAGACTGAGTTTATACCGTTAATTAATCAGTAGGAAATAATAAAAGAAGTGTTAATTAAGCTTGAAAATGGTATTATACAAGTTGAAAATCTGCTTGTAAATTTGACACCTGTATCAAATTTTGACCGATATCCCCATTTATGTAAAATGCAAAAGTCAACTGTAACTTATTTTGTCATTACGCCTTACATTTGTAGAGCACCTCGTTTCTGCTTTCTCTAAATCAACTCCCTGTTTTAAGTTTTTCCATTCCTCCTCTCTTCTTCCCATCTGCCCGTCTCTGCTGCAAGTTCAGACATGACCACAAATATACATGATACAATGGGAGATTAGATTTAGAGGGCGGTTTGGTGGATGCACAGCAAGCAAAGTGGGCGGGCAGATGAAACACCTTCTATTTTTACTTTTTTTTAAAATGGACATCTTTTTACCCCCCCCATCGACTCAATTTAGATTATTTAGGAGGCAAGTTTCCGCCCCTTCTTGTCTGTGCTGAGATGGATACAACATCATACCAGCTGAAAGGCCGAGATCAAATTTTCTCCCCACTTGGGAATTGAACTAGGGTACGACAGTGAGTTGCCTACCCACTACGCCACAGACATTGATGTGTCTTCCATGAGACAGTGCTGGCTTAAAAATTGAGACTCCGTAGTGTGTGGGCATGTATGTGTGAAGTGAGTGTGTTTGCGTGTTTGTATATAAAGTATGTGTCTGTGTGTGTGTGTGCGCATATGTGTATGTCTGTATGTGTGTGGGTGTGTGTTTCTTTGAGTAAGTTTTTGACTCATTTGCAGTCCCAGGAGGTTCATGTGCTAATTCTGTTCCTATTTTTTAATTTCAGCACTGTCCTTAGAGTGAAGGAGTGGGAGAGAGAGAAGCGCTTGAAAGAAAGAGCAAAGAGAATAGCAGGCAAAGAGGGAGAGGAAATGGCAGCGTGAAGTAGATTTCTTTCCCTTTTTTTAAAACAAGAATCATCAGTTTGTGCAGAGTTGTCCTTTGTGTTGATTTCCTCCGTGATGGACTTACGTCAAAGCAAAAGGACGACAACCTGGTAATTTCAAGGAGACCTGTATCCACACACACGAACTTGTAGAGTTGGATAAGGACATTTCTGTGGTTTGTGGAGCTCGCTCAGATCTACTGTCACTTTCAGAGCTATGTTTGGCTTGTAAGTTTTGCACCCCTGTGTTGATAATATCAAATATACTTAGGTAGATGATGTCTCTCTCTCTCTGAGCGTCCCCTCTTCCTTTTAATTTTAGTGATCGTTTACTATGTTTTCTTCTTTTGTCTTGCTGAATATTTTTTTTTTCGGGGGGGGGTCTAGTTTTACTTTAGAATATCGAATTAAGTACAGTAGATGTTTGTAAAGAGTAGAAGAAAAGTTTCTGAGTGCTGTTTAAATGTTCACACATCTAGGTTGCATTGTGTAAGCATGCATGTATGTCTGTGTGTGTGTGTTTCAGTACTCTGTTCGTGTTGTCAAAATGAACATAGGCTTGTATTATGAGCTCTCTAAAGCATGTTACGGTCTGTTTCTTTGTGTGTCTTATGTGATCTTGGACAGACACATCATGAATGACAGAGATACATTTGGTTAAATGTATAATAAAGGCTTGGCTTAATAAAGTAATAAAACAAAAAATGATTCTTTTGTTATGCATTATGTGCTTACTTAGCTATTGAAAAGATGTGATCATACATAGTGGAGCCTGCTTAAACCGAATCTGAAAATGGTGATAAACGGACAGAAAATTACATCCTGAATTATTAATTCTTAAAATTTAAACAATCTCTCTATACTGAAACAGTGGCAAAACCAAAGAAAGTATGGTAGTCCTGCAGATTTCAGTTGAAGCATGCTCCACTGTATTTACAGCGTAGATTCTTAAAACTGACTCATTGTACCTGTACAATTTACAGCCCCCATCAACACAATTTAGATCATTTAGGAGGGGGGCTTCTTTCCTGGTCTAAAAGGGATACAAATTCCTAGCAGAAAGACAGATACTCGATAATAATTTTCTCCCGACATAGGAATTAACTCGGGTCTCCTTTATGCGACAGCGAAGCGCTGGACCTCTACACCACAGACGTCGGCACAGCAAGACTTTGCCATCAGGTCTAAGAGTAAATGAAAGGAGAAACTTTGACACAATTATGATGACTATCGCCATATTGTGAGTAGAAAAGGCAAGATACACAGAAACAGGGTGACAGAAAAAAAGTTGAACCCTCCATCGCATGTAATCTGAATTGGTGGGTGTAAACAACAAAACTCTGAAAGAAAAAAAACCCAGATTACAACATAACAGTTTGGTTGAAAAACTTTATCATAATTGGTGTTCTGGAAAGTTCAAGCACAGAGACAAAATTATACCCCCTGGCTTAGCACAACTGACAAACAAAATTACATGTATGTTTGTTCAACAGGCTCTGGGAAAATTAAACTTTTAATTTTAAAGTCTAATTTATAGATATCAGATATGAAAAACATGTGACATCTCTGATCAGAAATGTCGTAGATTAAACTTTTGATAATTAAATGCGTTTATTCAGGAATCAGGTCAATCTTTATCATCTCTCAATTGAATAGAGAGAAAAAACATGAGAAGTCCCAAAATGATCTGAAAGAAAAGGATGATGGTTTTATTAAACGTCAATACACCTGATCCACAACCAAATTTGCTGGCGAAGTACAAAACCACTGGCAGCATTTTTAGTTACTATCGCACCATCCAAGTTTGTTACACTGCTATTTTTAAAAAAAATGTAGGTGCTTTTACTTCCTCCATTAACACAATTTAGATCATTCAGAAGGCGAGTTTCCAACCCTGCCTGTCAGTCAGGGCCAACTTAGGCTGAGAGGGGATACAGTATCCTAGCAGACCCTCGGTAAAAATTTCTTCTCACGATTGAATCGAACTCGGGGTTTCTTACATACCAAAGCAAAAAGAGCTCAATCGCTACACCCCAGACTCCCGTGTACAAAGCCTTTTGTCTGACACACATTGTAAACATGAACATCCCATTCGACTGAAATTGGAAAGTATACTCCTCAACATATTGTGTTGTGACGTGGAGGAATCAGGCCCTCATCAATTTTGGGGCATATGGAGTTACTGGTATCCAGTATAATTTTAACGCTTGCTCATTTGTCTTGCTTTTGAAGAAAAAAAGTGTCTGAAGAAGACGCGCCCCCAACTTATCAGAAGTTAAATTAGTGACAAAATGGCCACCAAAAGTCTGGTGATTTTCAAAGCTTTCAGAGTGCCTTTGATTAACATTTTTCTCTCAAATCCACAAACAAATGTCTTAAATTTATGGACATAAAATGTGTTGAGCCCTTAATACTATTAGAAAATTGAAAAAAATTGCTCAACAAGCAGAAAAATGCCAGTTTCTTGGATACCATTTTAAATCCTTCCTGTTTTGAAAAAATACAAATAGATGAGTGCCTGATTTCACCTTGATATGATGCCACACGTAAGGAGCTAGAAAAAAGCTTAAACTAAAAGTCTGCAAAAAGTTTAAAAAGATGACCGGTATGTAAAAATATTGTTGGTCGGTCTTCAAAATAGACTGATGTGTTGGAGACGATGCAGGGGAGCAAAACGGGCTAAGCAAAGATGAAAAAGAAACATTTCAACCAAACATAGTAATGATACATGACATATTTTTTTGGTTAAACTTATCATCCAAGTGCAAAACCCAATGTCAAAGATGCAAGCATGAGAAATATTTCTATACTGACAAGAGCCACTGGAATGAGACCGAGTCAGGAGTTGCAATGCTTAGTTCGGTGCACAAAGCACAAATTATAGAAGTTAACAACATCAGAAACAATGCTTTTTGGTAGCAGGGATGCAACTGGGATTTTGTGAAAATAACTAAAAATTGAAGAAGTTACGTTTGCACACAAAAAGGTGGTTAGCAAACACAACTAATATAGGGTTAGCCAGAGAATAAATAATGCTGAGAATAAGAACTACGATATTTTTTAAACGGACAAAAGAAAAGGGGGGAAAAAACAGCATTTGTGTAAACACTTGACTCTCAACAGTAGTCACATGACCAGTACTTTCGACACGTTGCTGTAAATAGTCCAGTAAAAGAGTTCTATTCTGCAGTTTGGCAACCTCTCCAGTGAAAGACGCAGACCGCTTCATGAGAACATCTCTCACTGAGCAGGACATTGACCATCTAAGCCCTCCAAGAAAGATAAACATCTTTTAAGTTTTTATGTCTCCACAGACACGGTTTAGATCGTTTGTGGCACAACGTGGTGGAATCAGGCACACCTCAGTTTTTGGGCATATGAGGTTATTGATTTCAGCTTAAAGCCTGTTCATTTGCCTTGCTTTAGGTGAAAAAAAATATCTATCTGTGTTGAATAGAAGTCTTGATATTTGTTATTGTAGGAGGTAAGGGTCATCTGGTAAAATTGGAGAGAAAATGGCCGCCACAGTTTGCTAACTTTCATAGCTTGAGAGGTCTTGGACACTAAAAATTTACATTTTTTGGTACCTTTAATCAATGTTTTTCAGTAAAATCCACACAGAAATGTGTTTTTAAAAGAATTAAAAAGGTGTTGAATCAATTTATATAAAAGAAAAATAGAACAAAACTGCCAGACCACCAGAAATACTCCAGTTTCTTTGATTTCAATACTTTGACGAGCACATGATTTCACCACGATGCCTCACATATTTAGGAGGCGGGCTTCCAGCCATGCCTGTCAGGGCCAACCTGGGTTGAGGGGGATACAACATTCCAGCAGAAAGGCCGAGCCAAGCTACCCGATAATTTCTCCCCATTCTGGGAATCAAACTAAGGACTCCTGCATGTGACAGTTAAGCATCTAACAGCCACACCACAGGCGCTGGTAGACACATGCGTAATATACAAGTCAGTTGTGACTATTCAGGAGAAAAACGAACGTTTGCTTTGACCAGACAAGGAAAAAAGACGAGACAGACACAAGGCAGTAGCTCTAACCTTACACCTAGCACAGAACACCGGGTCCATTTTTGTTTGAAGAACTAGAACACATACATGTGTATGTACTGTAGCAACAATTAACATACACATCTTTAAAAGACATAAAACAAACATAATTACATAGACAGGGCACAATTCATTTTGTGACAAAAGTTTTTAAAAAATTGTAAGTGTTCATCCTTTCTTAGTATGTAAATTTTAATTATTTTTTACAGTACTTAGCAGAAACAAGTCTATTGAGTAGAGATAGTTACATGGATCTGAGGCAAAATTGCTATTCCTTTAACACAAGACAAGAAGGGAGCATTTAATTAAACTGTCAGATATCAACGTGACCTTATATATGATATATATATATATATAATATATATTATATGACTAAACGATACAACCTCAGTATAACGTACTCTCTTTAGACTTAAGATTTTGAACGTATAAGCTGAGGTGCATATTGGTCAAAAATAACAGAAATAGTAAATGGACATGGGGCTTCAGAAAGTGAATGTTACAACAGATGGTACGTTTTTAGCCATGAACGTTATACCCGGATGTTACAATATAATATGGATAAGAGTCTTGCAGAGAAAACAGACAGTGCTGGTTCAAAATTTCAAATTTTTCTAAAACTGGTAAAAACGTTTCCTGCTCATTGCAAACAGGAATGGTACAGCACTTCAAAATAAAGAATGTAGTAAGCTAAAAGTGTGCAGATCACAAAAGAGTACTAGGGAAATCATCAGGAAAAGTGAGGAAGATGGTTACAGTAGTCAAAGTTCTCCGATTGGTCCATTGTAGTGTTGAACAGGGTGAGATAAAACAACAACAGGTAAACAGAACATAATGTGTATGCATGTCGTGAAAGAAATTAGGTTTTAAGTTAAAAAACAAACAAACAACAACAACAAAGAGTTCACAAAAAAAAGAACGATGAACTCATGTATAGGTCACAAAGCACTTTGAGCAAAGATAACTCATGTCAAGCAATAGTAGTAAGTACAGTTGGAAAGTACACCCGATAAAGGCACTTGGAAGAGAAACATTGGGGAAAGGTTTTTGAGTAGAAATCTTCACTATCAGTCATCATTGTAGTATGTCAAAAATTAGGGTTTTTTAATGAAAATATGTATGCTGTAAAGTTTAATGAGGTGCATTGATCACTCCCAGTATCATTCCTCTTCTTAAGATAGTAACTGGTTTAGACAAATTAAACACCTTGCATTAAAGATATTGTCCTGCTGATACATATAAAACTGGCTTTTTGCTTCCTCTGAAAACCATTCGTATTTTGACATACGACAATGATGAATGACGGTGACGATATATGAGGTCATTATCGAACAAAGATGTTACATGCAGTTAATTAACATGTTAATGAGCCTGAAGTTTTTGGCTGCACATTTTCAATCTTCTAAAGACTTCCGTTGTGACGGCTGGTGTTTTATTCTTTTAGTTTCAGGCCATTCGACACAAATCACTGCAAGTCTCTGGGTAGACAGATTGCAGTACCAGCTTTGAAGACTGGCATGGAAGGGAAGGCCTTTTTGCTAACTCACAGAGAACATGCTGTTTGTGGGGGCAACTTTAAATAAGAAACATAATTTGTCATTCACACAGGTTTTTTCCCTTCTGTTTTCTTTATCTGAGAATTAAAGAAGCCATCAAAAACATGCCCAACTAATACAAATTATGAAAATTGCTGTTTCTAATTCGTGTATAACGGTTCAAAATGTGCCTCAACACTGCTTTTGGTCTGTTGCCAGTTGGACATCTCATCTGATTGTACTGAAGACGCACACCAACTTCCGCATATTTCTGCCGCGGGCGAAAATGTGAATCTCCCACATGCATACATACACAATAACGAGAGCGGGGGCTTTCATCATATGATGGTGAGTGTATTCTGGTGCCTGAGCTGTGACAGAAACATACCCTTCTGCCGTGCATTTCGTGACATTGTAAAAGATATCTATATAATTAGAGCAGGAAAAATTGTTAAGTATACAAAAGAATGCACCACGGCTACTAACTAGTAAACTAGCATACAAAAACTGGAAAGGAAAATACAACAAACAACAAAACAAAAGCTTAACGCGTTGATGAAATTGAAACTGTACATGACTGAGTTAGAGCTTCTACACACACTTTTTAAACCAAACTGCCTTGTTGCATACGTTACAGCTATCACTTTCTGGTGGGACCAGTAGTCCTACAATAAATCAATCATACAGTCATCACATTTTGTTTGTTGTGGTTTTTCATGGTGACCCCAAGCTGTAGCAATAACAACAACTGACGATGTACATTTGCAACACATTGTGTTAAACAAAGGAGGGTGGGGGAGTTGGTGAAGGGCTCTCAACAGGTGACCGTCGTTTGTTAAAAGGAGGACCAACATCACAAAGTTTTTAAAATTTCATCTAGATTCCCAATAGACAGTCTTAATGAAAAAAGTGTATTTGACAAGAGCTTCTACTGAGAGTATTTGAAAGCAAAGTCATCCACCTCTTTTCTCTGAAGGGGGTTTTCCCACTAAGCTGGAGACTTCTTTTGGTACAAAACCTGAGAGTGACGTACATATCTCTGAATGGTCATAAAATCAAAATAAAGAACCAATCTTGACAGTTCTTCTTCTGAAAGAATTTTTGGTAAGACAGACCTATTTTCCCCAATCGCCGAAAATGAATATAATATCATCGCTGCCATCGTAACATAATTTGACTGAGCCGCTGACGATGCATCGTCCATACAGCGGTTCCGACCGCAAGCTGCAGGGAGAGTGGCTTGCCAAAGATTACAAGAAAAACAACGACTGACTCTGTCAAACTAGGACAAACAAGCCCTCTATTTTCCGTTTTAGTAAGAGTCTTACGGCACTGGCAACACAATAAGGTCATATAAGTGTCGAAGATTAGAGGAGTTTCAAGTGAGTAACAAACACAAAAAAGAAGGAGCGGAGATAAGGACGATAGATATTTGATAGAAAAGAAGAAGCAAACCACATCACAGCACCCGCCAACCACCCACGGGTCCTCTATAACTTACTGTACAAACACTAAATAAAACTTTGTGTCAACAGCACCAGCATCGCATGTCCACGGCATACTTCCCATATGTACAAAGCCCAGAAAGCAAAATTTTACAGGATGAGAGAGAAAAAAAACAGTTTAATTCTTTTAAAAAAATTGTACAGCCTATATTATGGGGGGGGGGAGGTTTTGCTTTCTTTTCCGTATAGAATTAAAATTAGAATTTCGACCAAATATTTCTAGAGTACATGAAATAAATACCACAAATTAAGATTATTAAGAAACTGAAATTGAGAAAATCCTTTACAATTTGAGCTTAGTACATCTGAAAAGCTGGCCGAAAAAATAATATGTCATCAGTACAGAAAAACATGCACTTCAAATACACACTGCTTTTCACATAACACAGCGTTCATTCACAAACTGTTCACAAATGTGTGCCGTGCTGCTCATGTACCAATGTGTCACGCAGAATAAAAAAAGTTGAGCTCGATCTGCTACATCATTCATCTCATGTCTGTATGTAACTCTGTGTGTGCGTGCGTGTGTGAGTGAGAAAAAGAGTGTGGGTATGTTGATGAGTGCTTGAGTGTGTAACAATTCATCATGACACAGCGAATTTCTCTTTGTGGAGATCAATCAAATTATGTAATCTTATCAATCTTTCTTTTGACCTTTTGTTTCATAAGCAAAACAGCACACTTAGAAAGCATAAATAGTGTAATTAGCAAGTGACACAAAAAAAGTTAGTAAAAAAATCATCATTAATCCTCACCCTATTCCAGCTGTCAAGGTAGCAAATTGTAAAAAATTTTAACTGACACTAGAAAACTGATTTTCAAATTTTTACAACTTCTGGCTTGACGTTTAAAAGTATTATGCCTTTCAATTAACAGCAAATTAGAAAGAACAAAAATATAAGGTGCAGCTATGAATATATGAAGGAGTAAGAAAAAGTAAGCGTATAGTTTAAATGCCCCTTTAATGATTATTCGCAAAAGAACGTCCAGTCTAGGATTCGAACCAGGGCCATCTGCTCTGTAATCCAGCACAACACCAACTGAACTAGTGGAGCATCCAAAGAGCACAAAGCTGAACAAAAACTTAACATGGAACTGGCCAGATGTTAAGCCATGACTCATAACACAACGACTGTAATGTCTTGGAAAGAAGACAGACAGGCTAACCATTTGTTTTCTATTGCATTTAAAAACACAGGAAAGTAAAACAACAGTAGAGGCTTTTTCAAAAATAGATTAAAAAATACGGTAGGTCTCGAGTTGTTCCATTTCAACATCAGAGCTGGTCTTGAATGAGTTTAGGAGGAACTGAACGTACACTGAAAGTCTCTCAAACCCTTGGTGAAATTCATTATTTGCTTGAAAATAAAATACACTTCACAACCCCACACTCTTGAATAGTAGCTATAGATGAATCACCATCTAGGTAGATTTTTCAAATTTTACTGAATTGTGCACATCTACAATAAAGAATCAACTGAATTGTGTTTACCGAAAATAAAAATTTTAGGCGCTGCGTGCACAAACAATAAAAGCAATAAAGAACTTACGGGATTCTGTGCACCAACAAGAATGAATTTACTGAGCGGTGCGCACCAACAGAAGAAATCACAATCAAAAGATGGGGCATAAACTGTAAAACAAGAAACAAAAGAGTATGGAAGAAACAGGAGAATTCTGGGAGGTCCCACTCCTAAAACAATCATTGTGCAGGCTTGCCAACTTTTCCAAAATCCCAGCCAGGAACACCCAACATTAAAACATCAGATTATGCAACAACAAACGAAATTACATCAAGTAGGACTGGCTTTGGTGTAGTGTATGTGTGTCACGATGAGGTGGAATCAGGCGCTTGTAAATTTTTGGGGCACAAGGAGTTATTGGTTTCACCTTAAAGCTTGGTCATCTGTCTCGTTTTCGATGAAAGAAATATCCATCTATCTTGAACAGAAGTTGAGATATATGCGATTGAAGAAGGAGGTGGTCGCCTGGTTTCAGAGGAAAAAATCTGAAACAATGGCTGAAAAAGTTTGGTGACTTCAAAGCTTGAGTCCCTCGACACTACAAATTATGTACAGCTTTTGTACCTTTAACAAACGTTCTTCAGTAAAATACACATAGAAATATGTTTATACATGGACATATTTCAGTTTTTGAGCCAAAAACCACAAATTAGATAAAAATTGCCAAACAGGCAGAAAAATGCATGTTTCTTTGATTTCATTATTTTGAAGAGCGCCTGATTTCACCAGGATGCCTCACGTATGAGAAAAGGCTCTCAAATTCAAGATTGCCAAATCCAGGAGAGTACCGGGGAATTCGGGGAACAGTTGGCAAGCTTCATCGCGGTTTGCATGAATGTGATCCTGACGTCATTTCACCCACTGACAAATGCATGGAGATGTGGGGAATAACAGAAACAATCTTCTATTGTGTGGTCATGGGTTCTAAGAGAAAGACAAAAATTGATGATGAGATTATGGAATTCTTACAAACATAAAAAAATTTTTTTTTCTAAATGAAAAATAAATATACATGATTGAAAAAAAAAAAGACATACATGAAATACATATCCAAACTAAACTGCTGCAAATGTACAATACTGCAGCACTAATAAACCTATGGATGATAATGAAATGGCAGCTACATCCTCAGCTTCTTTTTGCCTTGTTTCGGTCAGCGACAGATCCATTGGCAGAGTGCAACTGCTTGCTGGGGGCTGCCTTTGGCTTGAGGTAGGACTGGACGTAGAAGTTGCCGAACATGACAAAGAAGATAAGGGCATAAAAACCGATCCAGTAGACGAAGAATATGGGGTAGTCGCACTCCATGAACAACAGCTGGGACGAGTGGATCATAACACTGACGAACTGGGTCTGAAGGAGGGAGGACGAAACAAACACAGTGTATTAGTTGGAGAGGAAGGACAGTTTAGAACGAAGTGTAATAAAATAATGAATAGACTGAGAAGCATACAGTGCAAGTTGTGGATTACAAGCGCTTAACCATATCAGTAAGTCGTGTTTTACTATCGTATAAATACGACGAGGAGAACTACGTGCCATCACTTTCCAAAGGGGAAATTTACTCGATAATCTGATCCATACGCTTTGCAAAGCAGTGTCTCAAAATTATTTTTTGAGAAATACTGAAAGTTTCTAAGAGATCTTCGTAAAGAAGTATTCTCTGAAATGGGAAGAATACAACCCCGGGGGTACAAAATGAACCCAGGGCATAAGGATAGGATTAAACACTAACAGATTGAAATGATCTTTCGTGGTCTATAGCTGGGTACCCATTCCCACCAGGGTGAAGTAAGGAAAATTCACGTACAATGCCATTCCCGAGGTCACAACGTTAGGCCCCTGATGGAATTTGAACACAAAAGCTTTCAGTTTTGAGCCTGGCAGCCTATGTATTTGTATCTTGTGTTTTGGTATGTATTCACTTCTAGACTATACGTGAGCATGCCTGGTGAAAGGTACCATAAGACGCATTTGTTTGAACCAAGATATATCAGGCTTCAAAGGTCAAAAATAGAATTTTTGACAAAAACTAAGGGTCATTAAAAATGGATTCTTTAGCCATTAATATATGTGAGGCAGCGTGGTGGAATCAGGCTCTCGTCAATTTTGGGGCACGTAGAGTTATTGGTATCATCTTAGAGCTTGTTCACTTGTCTTTATTTGGATGGAAAAAACATCCATCTATCTTGAATACAAGTCGAGATATTTGCGAATGAAGGAGGTGGGGGTCACCTGTTTTCAGAGGTAAAATTAATGAGAAAATGGCCGTCAAAGATCAGTAATTTCCAGAGCTTAAGAGTCCGTGGTAACTGAAATTTTTTATTTTTTGTGCCTTCAATCAACGTTTTTCAGAAAAATCCACACAGAAATCAGTTCTTTCATGGGCAGGAAAGGTGTTGAGCCAAAAAACAAAAATTTTATAAAAATTCACCAACCTGAGGAAAAATGCAAGTTTCTTCACTTTGATTATTTTGACGAGAGCCTGATTCCACCACGCTGCTTCACATATTGATATTTACAAGGATTTGAGTTTCTTTTACTTTAAAGTACATTCGTAAAGATAGTTTTTAACACAAGGTACACTGCATGATCCCCAAAAATGCACGAGAAAATTGGTAATCCAAGTAAACATTGCAGATGGTTTCTCTTGTCCATTCATAAAGTCGACCCAATCACAACACATACCAAAATTTAGGTCATTCTCCCAATTCTCTAATGGCAGTTAGTGCGCATGAATTAGAACATGTAAACAAAGCGAAGCTTTGCGCATCCACACACTTTTGTTTCTTTGGAGAGTAAACTTGTATCGCCTATTTCTGCCCTGCGCAAACCTAGATCTATTTCTTGAATATTCTTGTTCAAGGTGGTGGTGAATTTGTTTTGAAGACATAATATAATTAATAATAATAATAATAATAATAATAATAATAATAAAAATAATAATATATAACATTTATATAGCGCATTTCCAAAAAATACTTTGAAGCTGTTCTTTCATCTTAAATGCTTTTTAAAGTTGGCTTGTGAGTAGCGAATGTGTTGTCAGGTCGTCTCGAAGCGTAGATCTATCTATTTGAAGCAGAAACAAAAGGGAAACTATAACCGTTTTTCTCAAAACTTTGTTTCCATACTCTGCTTTACAAAATCACCTATATTTCAAAACTGTTGAAAATATCTTTAAAATTCAAAAAGCATATTGTTCAGGAATGATCTCTGTACATGACAACACAAAAAAAACGAGATCCTTCGAAAAGCGTCATTAATTTGTACCTTTCACCAGGCACACACACATATGTGTGTATTGGTATGTTGCACATTGGTGTACATATACTCACAATCTGCATGGTGGTCATGTACTTCTTCCACCACAGATACTTCTGGAAGGTCGGGCCCATGGCAGCGAGTCCGTAGTACATGTACATCATGAAGTGGATCCAGGAGTTGAGCAGCGAGTGGAACGTGCCGAAACCGCCTGGGACACGACGGGGGGAAATAAAGTTTGAGTGTCAGTACCGGCCCTCCAGGTTTCGGAGGATCAGCTCAGGGCTAACAACCCAGACTGGTAAAAAGCATATGTTACAGAAACAGCAACAGTTGCTGCCCTAAACGCCAGATGGCGTAATGGGTAGTAAGTAAGTAAGTAAGTCAGTAAAGTAAAAAAGAAAAGCATCCAAACAATAACAGTCATTTGGTGCACCGAAAAAAGTAAGACTGAAAGAAATAAAAGACAGAAAGAAATGAGGAAGGACCTACCAGTGGAGTTTCCCTAACCATAAAAAAGAAGCGCATCCAAACAATAACAGTAATTTCATGCTGGGGAAAAGTAAGACAGACAGACATAAAATAACAGGGTAATGGTGGAGACCTCCAAATGTGCACCAAAATACAGTAAAACTGCCATATAACGTATTCCCTTCAGACCCAAGATTTTGAACATCCTTGCCCTGGTACTGGCACATATTAGCCAAAAAGAGTAAAAAATACTTAAAATCTGACTTAGGGCTTCAGAAAGTTAACGTAGCGTAGAGATATGTATTCACCGACACAGCACAAGCGGCCACCTGTGCCTCCCTACCTGGCACAAGTTTGACTCCAAACCACCAGGAGATGGGCATGATGCCGTGGTGAAACACGTGCAGGAACGACACCTGGTTGAATTTCTTCCTCATGATGAAAAACACCTGTACACACAAAGAGAACAACATAACAAAAATCAATAATCATGCATTCACTTTGAGATAACTTTCTCACTTCTCTTGCACCCTGTCAGTTCAGGAACCTTTGTGCTGTTGTGATATCCCCCCCCCCCTTCCATCCACCATTGACACCCTATAACCGTCATCTTGATAAAACTCTTCCTCCTATTTTTCTGCTCCAAAAGATTATCAGTTTTGCTCCTTCTTTCCTATCATACATCCATCATTCTTATCTTTCCTTCGCCTTTTCTTCATATGTTACGCTCTAGTGCACTTCTAATCTTCCGCACTCATACGATCTATTTATGTCGTGTGTGTTGTAAAACTCTTATCAAAACTGAAATATTATCATTTTAAGGAATTGCTGCATCTGAAATTGCTAGCACTTAACATAGGTCCAGCAATGATGGTGGACTTTGTCTAAGACTCTGAAGGATTTCAGGTTTAGTCCATTAGATACTCACCGTGTCGAGAAGTTCAATGAACTTTGACATGTAAAACAGCCAGCACACTCGGACCATCTGAGAAACAGAGTAGATAGATAATATAGTGACCTCCACAAAGAGACATTAGCTGTGGGACGGTAAATTCACACATACACACGCATAAGTCAACACATACACCCTCTCTGTCTCTCTCTCTCCCACACACACATATACACACACACTTACATACACAGATGCACACACACACAAGAGGGCAGGGAAGGGGAGATGGGACGAAGGTGGAAAATGAGAGGAGGGGAAGAGAAGAGGGAACTTTATGTTAAATGGATTTATACACAGATTGGGTAATACTGACTACTAGAGGTCAGCATGCCTAAAGTTTTTTTTAGGAGAAAAGTGATATAGCTTTCCACATTTTGATGTCCCACTCCCCCCACCACAAAACAAACGAGTCATGAGTTCTGAACTTTAACTTTGCATAAGTTTATACGGAAGATTTACGGGCATTGCAATGTGGACTTTGTTATTGAATACACAGCACATTCACTCAGCACAAAGCAAAACAATTACAAAATTATAATGAGAGACACATATTGATTTTTTGTCTTTATCATCTCTCGAGGACAAACAAAAGTAATCATAAACCATATGTGAGGCAGCGTGGTGGAATCAGGCTCTCGTCAATTTTTGGGTATGTAGAGTTATTGGTATCATCATAAAGCTTGTTCACTTGTCTTTATTTGGATGACAAAAATATCCATTTATCTTGAATACAAATCGAGATATTTGCGAAAGAAGTAGGTGGGGGGGTCACCTGTTTTCAGAGGTAAAATTAGTGAGAAAAGGGCCACCAAAGATTAGTTATTTCCTTAGCTTAAGAGTCCGTAGCAACTGAAAATTTACATTTTTTGTGCCTTTAATCAACCTTTTTAAGAAAAATCCACACAGAACTGACTTCTTGAATGGTTATGAAAGGTGTTGAGCCAAAAAACAAAAATTTTATAAAAATTCACAAACCAAAAGAAAAAAGCAAATTTCTTCACTTTGATTATTTTGACGAGAGCCTGATTCCATCACGTTGCCTCACATAGGGACTTTCTCATCTTATTAGCTATAAACGTGAATAAAACTTTGTGCAAAGCTTCTCTGAGGGAAGCTACACTCCTTCGTCTTTATGTTTATGTCCGTTCTTTATCTTGAGTCGAAGTATGTGTTGTGAAAGCAAGTTGTAACAAAAACATATCAATCCAGTCGAACCATGGAAATTAACTCCAGGGTCAATTAGTTAAAACAAAACAAAAATACAGAAACGAAAGCCAAGGCACTTGAGGTTCCTCCTACTGATCAAGGCAACACCTCACCCACAGTCACAAAATTTGTACTGACTGTATACATGTGTGCATAAACTTCTTTAAAATTTATTAACAGCAAATATAAAGTGATCCCAATAAAGATGAACTTTTGAAATGTCACATAATAGATTTTCAGGTACTGATCTTTTTTTTGTTGGGGGAGCTGGGGGGGCTTTTAAAAAAATACTGTGTCAGGTAGGAACCAGTTGGCTTCAGGCAAATCCCCCCCATCAAAAATGTACTACTTTCTATCTCTGACACAGTTCCCCACCCGTGTTGTGATGCATCATAAATCGTGTTGTGACCACACCGACTAATTTAAAAAAAAAATGAAAGGCAGGTTCACTGCCAACAGATGACCACATTACGCAAAGGTGATCGGACAGTCCATGAGTATGGGCGCCAGTCTGTCTGGGAAGTTCAAGTGCAAAACTGTAAGATCAGGCGGACGGCTCAGGGGATTGGGGAAAACAACCCATTGACGAGTTCACACTTTGGTGTGATCCGGTCTGGGGCAAACATTGTAACTGCTTATCGAGATTTACTACAGAGGTGTGGTCGCGTTCACGAAAGTGGATGATATGTGGCACGACAGAATGTACAATGATTGCACATTTTCGCTACTTGGTTGATCAGCTGAGCGCGCCCAGGTTTCTAACTCTTTTTTTCCCCCTTAAAGTGAAGAAAAAGAAAAACCCAACTAAACTATGACCTGAAAAACAGGATCTTAGCTGAATGTATCTCATTCAGTGCTGGTCAGAGCGGGATCTTAGGGGTGACTTTTATATAGTTAAAATTCTATTTTTCCAAAACAGCGGGATTTTAGGTGAACTGGGACCATAAGCGATGGGATCTTAGGCGGGGACTACTGTACATTGTATATTCGTTGCCTTTTTAATACAAACATAGTGAAATTTGTTCATAACAAAAAGATTTCTGCATCCCATTGATGTCACAAAGTGCGTGCTATACAGTCGCATGACCAAGTTTTAACCCTGTATCCTATAACTCATATGAGATCGATATTCAAACTTGATAGTTCTTGTAAATAACTTTTTTATAAAAAGCAATTTTTATGCCCCTAATCGACACACTTTATATCAGTAGAGGCGAGCTAACTGACCCTCCCTGTCAGGGTCAACCCAGGCTGAGAGAATACAGCATCCCAGCAGAAAGCTTGAGACACTCTATAAAAATTTCTCCTCACTCGGAAATCAAACTCTCCTTATTGCGACAATAAACGCCTTACTGCTACACCGCAGACACCGGTTTGTAAAACCTGACGGACATATTGGCAACTGAAGGACTATCAAATTAAACTGTACATCTTACCCTCAGGGCCTTCGGAGAGTTGGAGTAATCGACGGGCTGACACCCTAGGCTGTACCCTGTCAACCAACCTGCCATGAGGAACTGGGGAAACAGATCAAAACATTCAATGTCTTTCTTTAAATAAAAGATAACAAAATTCCAACTCTGCCTCTCAAGGCTAACCCAGGCTGAGAGGAATATAACACTCTAGTAGAAAGACCAAGATCATCATCATCCTCATTAGGCCACGAACAACAAACACTTTCTACCTTTCCTTATCCTATGCAACTATTCAAGCAGAAAGACCGAGACACTCAATAAAAATTTCTCCCCACTCAAGAATCGTGCTCGGGTCTCGTGCATGCAACAGTGAAGCAAATATCGACTACACCACAGACACTTTTATGTCTTTCTTTGATTTTACTTGTGGGCTATTTCATGAAAAACAAAACTTGCAGTGACACAGGTAATGCTGGTATGACGACTTACTGAAAAAAAAAAATCTAAGCAGTGAGGGATCCAATATAAATTTATTTTATTTTTTGTCCGAGGCAACCTTCCTTCACCTGTGCCTGATAATCTTAACAATAACAGCTCACCTCATAGAAAATGTAGCCTGACAGTGCAACCATGGCGAGATTGTAGACAATGAGCACGGGTCTCATCTCCACCGGTTTGCGATTCTTCATGAAAGTCGGGGACACCAGCACAAAGATGAAGTAGGACATGCAGATGATGAAGCTGGGCATTGGAGAGTCCATCATGAACCAGTCGTCTACCCTTGGGTCTGCCGAAAAACACAGGTGAAGATTGACAAAATAATAAATAAAAAAAACTACACATCATTGTTACCCGTGGGGGAAAATTGGGTTATAATGGCAAACAAACATACATTTAAAAGTCGACAAGAAGCTACATTATTCTAGCACTTAGCTTACCTCCATTTTTCATGACGTAATCGTAGCCTTTGATGGCCTTCGTGATGAGGTTATCTTGTTCTGCCATTGTGCTCGTTGTGGCTAAAGTCACTCAATGCTTTCCTAAATAAAAAAAAGAAAAAAAATTCAGAAAAAAAGAAAGAAAAAGAAATGATGGACCTAATTTCACGTGAGTCATGTCACCATCACTGAGACAACACAGAAAATCATTTCTCAAAGTAAATTTCAAAGTAAACGCAGGTTACATATATTAAAATGGAGTCTGCTTTGTAAACTGAAATCTGTGGGACCATTGGATTTTTTTCTATTTAGCCATGTTTTCGTTGTACAGGTTGCTCATAAATAGAAGCAAAATAATTTGGGATTATTCCTTTAGTTTAACGCTGTTTTGGGTTTAGTTCTGTTAGACTTCAGCACACTCAATTGTATAATAAAGTAAGACCTAAGACACCTGGACAAGCATGAGGAAATGGTTCACAAGTGGAGAAAGACCAAGTTGAAGTCAAGGAGTCAAATTTTGGTAAGATGGACAAGAGAAAAGGCTGATGCTCTTTAGTTAACGTCTCTCCAGAACCCTGGCATAGCCAGCATGGGTAAAACTTACAAGCAAAAAAATAATAGTTTTGAGGTGTGCTGACAAAACGAGATCTCCTCACAATTCGTGGTGATCTGCTGAAAAGTTGAACTGAGGGTCAAATTTGAAATTTTCAACTGATGTCGCATTCTTTATGTCCTTTTTTATCCTTTCAAAGTTTTGTGAATAGTAAAAAATCAACCTATAAATTTGACATAGAGCTATACTTCCATTGCCCAAACCCGAGAACTCTAAGAAACTCATTTTGTCAGCAAAAGGATAATTCCTGTGTATACAAGAAGTGACACTATTCTTTTAAAAGGCCTACTTAAAGTCAAGACTACATTTTCAAACATGCCTAGAGATATAAGACAAAGCCTAATTAATACAGTAATACATCGCATTTTCCCCAATGAATGCAGATACACAAGATCTAAATTTGGTAAATTTTCCCACTGTTTCTGAGGGTCAAACTGTTTCAAAACACACAAAATGCCACTAAAACCATCGTAAATCAATTCTTTCCTGAAACTTCCATACTTCATGCACCATGGTGAAATCAGGCTGTCATAAAAATATTGAAATCGGGGAAATCGACATTTTCCCGCCTATAGAGAGCAAATTAAAAAAAATTATTTTCGGGCTCAACACCTTTTACATCCATTAAAAAACGTTCTTGAACAAAGGCACATTAACAGTTTCCAAGGACACTCAACTATGGATGATAATGATACCAAACTTTGGCAGCTGTTTTCTGGCTGATCTTACCTCTGACACCAGATGACGCCACCCCCCCCCTTCAATTAATATAGATCTATCAACTTCTACTCAAGAAGGATGTGTATTTCTTTTTCATCTAAAACAAAAAACAAGTACAAGATTGAAGAAGATACACAGATAACTCCGCTAAAAAAATGACAAGCGCCTGGTTACCCATCGCATCCTGCCACATTTGCAAAAACTTATTTTAAAATAGGTGCCATGTATGTGGAAATACAGGGGGCATTTACCGATACCCCTTCAAAAAAAAAAAAAGCCGCCTATATTCTCACCCCTGTTGAGAATAACTCACGACCCACTATTCTCACCCCTGGAGAGAATAGTTTTGAATGACTAAGTCTAAGTAAACGGTAAAACCGACAACCAGGGTTTTTCCACCACCACTATAGCATCATCATTACAACTTCCACCACCATTTGTCTTTCCACATATGTTTAATTTGATTTTGTTGTGTGTTATAGTTTTTCTCTGATTAAAATTTATTTTTATCACATCGTACAAAACCAACAGCTGAGGCCTCTTCCCCAACCAAGTCGAAAGTGTGAGATCGCTACACGCAATCTCATTGGTCGACATAATTAGCTTTGCCCCCCGGCAAGGTCAGCTCAACTTAGTCGTTCTGTTCATACTGACGATCCAGGGAGCTGGCCGCCAGTTTCGATAGATCTAGTCTAGATATCTAGATCTAGTCTAGATCTAAGAATCTACTCAAACACTAGAGTCTAGATCTAGAATCTAGATCTAGATATAGATCTAGATCTACATCTAGATATAATCTAGTCTAGATCTACACGAACTGAACTGACAACTGACCAATGTAAGTCAATTTCAATTTAACAACTAACAACCACCATAGTCATGATAGATCTAGACTCTAGATCTACCTCTGTCTTGAATCTTTAGTCTTTAGAAAGTTCAACTCGATCATCTACATCAAAGAAGTCGAACGAGTTCTGTTATCTTAAGAAGTGTAACCCACGCCCACAGGATTAGAATGTATGCATTCAAGATAGCAACCGCAAACCATTCCAAATCAAAGGCCTTTGGACGTGCCACAGTTCTCGTTGAGATTTCTATTTCAGACTAACGTCACTAACGAATCTCACATTCCTTTAAAAATCTTTAGAAACTCTTAAAATACGTATATATGAGCTGTCGTGTGTGTACATGCCTTTACAAGATCTATCCTAGACTGTAAACAGAAGGTAGGTTGTCTTCTTATCCCTTTTTAGAATAGGTCTAGCACCCCATCAGCGAGGACATTCACTCGGGTTAGGAGGAACGAAGGAACTCAACGAAGCTCGCCTGGTTCACGACGAGGACGCACCGGCTTCCCACTTCCTGTTCGTTCACTTCGGATTTCAAAGGTATCCATATAATTAATTTATTCGGTGGTTGGGTTTATTTTTAGCTTTGCAAAAATGATTATAAATACGCTTCAGTTTTCTCTTTTGTTTGTGTTTCATGAAAATTGAACTCTAGGCCCAAGATTACTTACAAACCAAATTCCAAGTTCGTTAAAAAGAAAGTGGATGTTTGTTGAACGACTTGGTATAATGAAGTGAATGAGAATAAATGTGTGAATGTGAGTTCACTGTTTTTATTAACATAATGTACCAGAGCCCAAATGTTTCAAGCTAGTAACTTTGTCTGTCTGCCTGTCTGCCTGTCTGCCTGCCTGCCTGTCCGTCTGTCTGTCTGTCTGTCTGTCTGTCTGTCTGTCTGTCTGTCTGTCTGTCTGTCTGTGCATAAATGTCTAGTACAGCACCTTTGGCTATAATGAGCTGTTGGGGGTTTTTTTCTCCCATACATACATGCATTTTGAAGCCAATACAGGCCACACATTATAATTATATAATGCAGTTGGCGATTTAGTGTCTTTATCAAGGATTGTTTTCCAGCACAATGTTTAAGGAAGTTGAGAACTGAAGTGACCCTGGAGAAAAGCAGACGGTTGGAATCAGAAACCAAAACTCGCGTCTCAATCGGTAGCGAGGGGCCTTATATTAAGCTATGTAGCCTCCTACAATACTCTTCGTATAATTTGTTTCTTTCTCGGGCACGTTAGGTATTACACCAAGAGAACCGTAACTAGATCTAGATCTAGAAATTGGATAAGATTGGACCTGTTACAATTTCATGTGTGAGATTCTGAACACAGGACCTAAGTCCATTGTATAGGCCTAATAAATATATAATATTATCTTTTTTTCGAGGTCACACTGTACAGTTGTTGTTTTTTTTTTGTTGTTGTTTTTTTTAGGAGGGTGGGGGTGTTGGTTTTGTTTTGTTTTGTTTGTTTTTATTAAAAGGGGGTTGTTTGTTTGATTTGTTTTCTGTTCTTCTTTTCATGAGGAGGGGAAGGAGTGTTTTTGTGTTTGTTTGTTGTTGTTGTTTTTGTGTGTACGTTACACGGTTTGTTGCGACATTACGTTGTCTGAATGTGGCACGTATTTAGAGCAAACTTTTGATTTTGTGAGATAATTAATTAACCCTGGAACCTTTTATTTGAGTTATATAAACCCGAAGGCTCACTGCTCAAAGGTCGGACTGGAAACGTTTTCAGTTAGCATCTGGGGTAATCTTACAGCATGTAGAATATTGTGTATTGTAGGCCATAGGTTAATATACGACGGACATATAAAGTATAGGTAGTTAATTTGTTTAAGTGTTATCTTTCGGCTCTAAGACTATTCTGCCGTCAGCTGACAAAACGCCTTTTTTTCATTTTGGCGCGAAAATTTTTTATTTGATAAATCGATAGTCTGACCTGTTACCCAACTTGTGTGAAAAAATCAAAGTGAAAATGTGAATAAATTAACATTCAAATTTCGGAAGAACGCCTTTTAAAAATGGTTACGCTGACAAAACGCCGTTTTGTAAGAGTTCGCTGACAAAAC